ATCCCCAAACACACTCGCGTGATAAGCTCTATAGATCCGATTATATTTAGGAAATACTGTTGTTGTTTGACAGTGAAAGTGAATTTGTTTGGGGTGTATTTCGTAGACTGACATTTTTTATGAAATTTGTTATTGATGTGAAGACTGACGGAATAATATTGTATTTAAGAGTAAAGGCAGAACATTTTAAAGTGTAAAGGAAGAGAATGGTAAAATCGGGGATGGTGAGCATGTTATAGGGGACACCAGTATGCATGGTTTAGATCCTTGGGTGAATTGCATTGTGGGCAGTTGCCATCAGTGTGTCTCTTTTGTTTGTATAATGTATAGCTTAAATTTGTTGTGCCACGGAGAATTCTGGAAATTATTGTATCTAAAAGTGTGAAATTTGAACATTTGTGCATTTATACTCGGATTTTGTTAAAAGGGATTTACTTCAGGTGGATCTAGTGTTTTGAAAAATAATTTGAAAAGTTTGAATTTTGATACTATTTTTCATTAGTGTTTTTAGGTCGGGTTTTCCCGTAGTGAAGTTTATACCTGGGGATGGGTTTGTAGAATTACTGCCAGGCCTGCAGAATTCCATTTCAATTCCAATGTTTGTATTTCAAGGAATCCATTGTAAGGTTATTGTGTTACCTATTGGTTTTAGATCTGATGTTATAATGATGATGTTTAATATTATTGGTTAAGTCAGGGGTTTAGAGTGTTTGCTTTCACAGAGCTCAGTGAGTCTGAAATCATAAGAAAGTTTATTGATACTTTTGACCTGATTTAATTAATATAACTGATTAGCCAAACGATCAACGAAATTAGAATGAGTGAAATTTTAAAAATGGCAATTAGAAGTTATTAAAATAGGTTGATTTACATTCAAGACCTCAGTAAAGCTATCAAAGAATTATATGGTAGACATGTAGAGGACATTTCCAAATTTAACGCATCAGTGACAAATATTATGTCCAATTCCAGTCCCTATTTTGACTTGCACCATATGTTCCCATGTTTTTTTAGCAGAATAATTGACTTGCCTTTGCATGTGTTTGTGATGGGTACCATCTGTGGGGCAGGATACGCTCACATTTTCTGGAACACCGGTATAATCACTATTTGATAGTGACTAATATACACATCATCATGTTTCGATTTATGTGATTGAGTACTATTGTAGTTTTTTTGCTGTGATTGTATCGAATGGAAACCGGGGACTTCTTCGTCTTCTTCTTATGGTCCCGCGAGCCGGATTTGTAAGTACTTTGCCTATTTATGACCTTTGACAGCGATGACAATGATATACCCGGAGAAACACGGGGAGTAGTGCACTTTCCTAGGCGCACTTTTTCAGATCCAATTAGTGCAGTGGGGGCTCGAACGCGCTTCGCCGGCTCACCGACTTGGCTAAATAATGCTTTAATTGGTCGACGTGCTACCACTGGAAAACGAGGGCTATCACGTGTAATCAGTGCTCGTTTAACGGGTCATATGCACCCCATTGACGCGCCTGCGTAATTAAGTAAACAATGAATTGTGCATGCGTGTGACGTCACGGTCCGCTCTCCCATTCATCTTTTCTTGAAACCACACCCGCCACACTCCGGCGCAGTGGTGACTTCATAAATAACACCGCTGCCACAGGCTTATTTGCATATCACGTGACGGGACTTTTTCTTGTTTGTAAACAAACTCGCATTAACGGACTAATTTTTGGCATTTGGTATTTAAGTAATCCATATTGTTTTGTATAGTTATATAAATATGCTACTACAACTGCGACAGTGAGTTTCATGACAATACATACTTACACATAAAAGTGACCGTATCGCTGAAAAACAAATGCAATATCTTGAATGGACTGTGGAAGATGTGACGAATGTCACATGGCGCTGGCCTGTGGCAGATGTAGTATGCAGGTCGCCTGGAACTCTGGGTCGGACAGTCCACACCCGCCATTGTTTCTGTCAACATGACCGACCAATCGAATTAACCAGATTAACGCTTGAAAAGGTAAGAATTTATGGCTTACCCTTGCCCAAAGCAAAGCTAACCCAAGGACCGAAAAAGGGGTGTTGGATCGTAAAGACGTGTTGGTTTCCCTAAGACCGAAAAGGGGTGTTCAGGGATAGGCTGGGGTGCTTTTAGCCCCTAAATTTGATAAAAGGCCGACATTTTCAAATACAATGGGGAATTTTAACGTTGTGCTATATGTAAGTGTGGGTGTACCAAGGGAATATACGGTATATTAAATTTCACTTAAAGGGCCCATGTCAGAAAATTCCTGGCGTGAATCCTGGGTGTTGAATCGTAAAGACGTGTAAGTTTTCCAAAGACCGAAAAGGGGTGTTGGATCGTGAGGCCAAAGTCACTGGGGTGTGAGCCACAGTAACGGTATAGCGAGACAGAGGTCGAGCTATAGCTCGGTCATTGAGCGGATTTTAGAGTTCGGGCTGTGCCCTGTAAACAGCATTATTGCCGAAACACGGTCACGCTCGCAAGACAGACACCAAGTCCGGTTTTCGTCAAGGCACAGATGACCACCTGCCTATTTGTCAGACTATGTAGTTGACATGAAACATGAACTTTATGAAATAATGACCACGCGATCGTCATGTTAGGTCCTAGCCCAGTAGTTGAGGCTCATTTGTTGCCTTCTATGTAGTTTTGAGGTGGAGCCTGATAGTAGTAGAAGCAGTGTGTGTTGGTAGGACCAGGTCTCCTTGGCTAGTTAAGTGTTTCATATTGTAAGGAGCTTGGTTTATTATAATTAGTAATTGATATGGTGTTTAATACCGGAGCGCGGCACAGACGCGTTTTTAAGTGTTTGGTATATGTTCAAAAGGGTTTGTTTGCCTGCATCCCAGTCTGTACCATCGATGGCCCTCAAGAGGTTTAGATCTTTTTAACATCAATTGACCAACTGAAAAATATGGGATGTCCGTGTCAGCTGTTGGTCAAATGTAGCTTCAAGGAAGTTTATTCCTTTTTGGAAAGTAATGCCTTCGTTATGTCAGTGCATTTTGAGTGTATAATTTGGCATATATGTGTTTCTTAATAAGAAGCTAATGGTTTTTTTAAAAATAATTTTGAATCCCAATTCAGAAGACCAATTTTGAATTTGTACAGTTTATATTTGTTTTTTTTTAGCCTGACTTGACTAAGATGAAGTCCAAAGTGATAGGTAATCCATAAGTTTAGCTGTGGAGACGGGTTTTTTTATTGACTAGACGTCTCTCCAACGCAGTTGAGGCCATACCCTATGTTGACACCAATGCAGTCGTTGACAATGTTGTCCACTCATATATGATGTGTCGAACAGGACGTCTTGCTCGTAGACCTGCTGCTTGTAAATGGTTTGGTACGGTCTGGTCGGAGATTCTGTGCAGTATTTTGGATGCGGCTGAGGTGGCTATGGTCGTCCTTTCACGTAGGTGGAGCAGTCGGATGTAGCAATCATGGGCGGGGGTGGTTACTCTTGGTCGTCCTGAACTTGGCCGATCACGTGTTGACCCATGCTGTCGAAACCGATCCCATAGCCTTGTGATGGTGCTGGGCGCTACATTGAAAACCCTATCTACATCTGATCAGAATTCCCCTGCCTGCAAGCGGTCTGTGACGTTGTTTCTTTGCACTTCTGTTTATCTTGGCATGTTTTTGAACTGTCACTGTTCGATTGACGCAGATGCCAGGCAATCAAAAACCCTGAACTTTAATACCATTCATAGTGCTGCTGCACATGCAGTGCCAACAACTCCATGGCCATTTTGTTAATGTTGTTGTTGGTGGTGCAACAACACCAACACATCATTAAATGCAGATGTTAGCGCTCTCTACAGCTACACTTTGGTCTAAGGACATTTTATTACAGGTAACGTCGGAACGACCCTGTATCCGACTAAACAGAACGTTGCTTACGAGATCGCGAAAGTGAATGTCTGAAAGTTTTTTTCTGATCATGCAAATTCGAAAAGTTTAACACGAGGCATTACAAACGACAGTTAGGGCCTGTACGACTGATTCCGTCACAATCATTGTCCTTCTCTTGCTTCAGTGGAAGAGACTTTCCATAAGCCACGAGAGGTACTGGCATCTATTACTATAGTATTAGACATTCTACAATTTTCTTTTGTTCAGTTTTCAAATTTTGAATCGAGAAGTGTCACCAACGTCACGTCTGTTCGTATTCGCCTCTCTTCAGGGTTGGGGTGCGCATGTAGAGGAACAGCGACCTCAGGGCTGTGGTGCGACATGAAGCGCACATGGCACATCAACAAGCTGGAGTTGGAGGCGCTCATCTTAGCGATATTACATTCAACCGACAACATCATAATGGTGTGGTATCTTAGAAGCTTTGTTAATACCGCCCCAGATCATTTTGCTGCGGTAGCGATATTGCAACACCACTAACGTGTTAGAAATCTAGGCCGATCTGCTGCTAGTGTTGCATTAATTAATGACGTATGGTTGTAAAACGTATTTGGAACATGTGCACATGTCCACAAGAAGTAAGCATAACAAACTACACATATATTACACATGGATTAGGGATGTAGTATGGTAACTATAGCTTAGAGGTATTGAGAGCGCTGGTGTGTGGACAATTCAAGGTTTTATCGCAAAAAGATGCTATGTTCTTACGAGCACTGTGTGCATGTATACATAATTTAATATTAGGTGGCATTTTTCAAATGTTGCACAGCTGCATGTGTTATATAGCTAAAACGAGCCATGGTAGACTCATGATCTACACTATTCGAGTAATATTTCATATTTTTGAGTAGTTCAATTCAAGGTTAGAAAAGGTTCCCAAAAGTCTTCTGACCAAATGGATCAACAGGACATCCTTGGTGACTTGGTTGATTGATTGTCAGACGGACTAGGGCAAAATATCAACAACTTGGATTGCATTTACACTATTGTGTGTTTACAATATTGCTGTGTTCTGAGTAAGACAACAAATAAACAACCTTAGTTTCAAATAGTTCACTCACTATTTTGTATTTTAGTTGTGACACATTGGTGAAAGAAGGATGACAACAAAACGAAAACATGATGGAACCACAGTAATCTACAACAGAACAGTGACAGGTAACCTTTTTGTTTGCATAAATATAACAGATAACCATACTCTCAGCACTATAAATGTTTTGTACCAGAGAGAACCACCCATTTGGTCGTTACCTCATGTGAATCTGTTTAATGGGTATTGTATAATTGCCTTTACATTTATGATCCTGTATATTTATTCACTTACTGTTTTTTCTTTTCAAATTACATAACCATTATTATGTACATTCCAAGTGTTTATGAAGGCCATCATAATGTGAAGAAACATGTTGTATTTTGGTGATATGAATTGATGTTTTTGTTTGCTTTTAGGGGGGAATGATGGAACCACAGTACCAGACAACATAAATATAAAAGGTAAACATACTCTCAGCACTATAAATGTTTTGTATTCACAGAGAACCACCCATTTGGTCGTTACCTCATGTGAATCTGTTTAATGGGTATTGTATAATTGCCTTTACATTTATGATCCTGTATATTTATTCACTTACTGTTTTTTTTTTATTTTCAAATTACATAACCATTATTATGTACATTCCAAGTGTTTATCATGTAAAGAAACATGTTATATTTTGGTGATATGAATTGATGTTTGCTTTTAGGAGGGGATCATGTGCATCATCAGACTATGGCTGCTTTTGTTGAGGGTGGTATGGGGAATATCACCACACACAGTATGTATTTCAGCACTTCTTTCCCATATGTTAACTAGGGCCAATTTTCACAAACATGTTTTTATATTTTCGGACATAATTGAGAAGTCAAACATAATCGTTTCATTCGTAGATTTAGAACTTAGAATACTGAGCATCGTTAATAACAATATTTGGATATATTCTAAGTTCTAAATGTTCAGTTGTTCTTCATTACAAAGGACACATCAGTTAGTGATGAGATAGTTAAAAATAAAATATAAAATACCTCTCTGCTGGGATATGTCGGAGCTGTGCTCTAATAATCAGGTGTGTCATAGAATAAGAATAAAGTGATAACGACAACGTGGTAACATGTTCACAGGTTTATTAAGTACCAATTATACTAATTATATAATGGTTGACAATTGCAAATAAATCCACTCGGCGCTAATGCAGATCACAAATTGTTTCTATCAGCGCAAATATACAAACAAGTTTTAGCCAAACATATTACAGCTATAAAATGTGAGATAGCGCGCACAACACTTTGACAAGATATGGAACCAGTGTGTAGCCTGCCAATTATGTCGGCTCCGACCAATTAACACCTGAGTCAATTAACCCGAGAGCTTATCCCTAAAATGAGTCACTTAGACTAAAGTTCCTTGTCACTTTGACTGAACCAGTACATACTAAAGTTCCCAAATAGTTAGTTAATCACGGGAAGGTTGGTTATCCACGTATTGCTAGCAAAACTGGGCATTAGAAACACTAGTTAGTAAGAGTTTAGAAATCACTAGAAAGTTGGCTATCCATGGATTAATAGCAAAACAGAGTAATACAAACCCTAGTGACTACGTTTAGTTCAGTACAACCGGACTTAGTCAGAATACACATCGACAAAGCTCCGAACCCACTTACTGACGAAACCCGAGTTTGGACAGTGAACACTCCAGTAGTGAGACGATCATGAACGATTTAACAAAGTCTTGAGGAGGGTGATGATGATGATGTTGATGATGATGTTGATGATGTTGGAGATTTAACGATCGCTTCCGGTATTGCCGATTTCGCACTCGGGGCATACTTTGAAACATATGAAGGAAGTATTTAAAACGATGTAAATTTGCAAATGTATGCCCGAAAACATGCCCATGACGGGTGTGAATGATAGAAAGGGAAATAAGTGAATTCTTAAGAGTAATGGGTTATTCTGGAATAGGGGACTGAAAATTAGCTGAAGGGATTGATGTGGTAGTGTGATTTTTTAATTGCTTTTGCTTGTTTGTTTTTATGGGTAGGGCATTTAGATCATACTATTTAATTTGGTGTTGATTAGATAATTGGCTAGGTGGTAATAGTTGGAGGAATTAGTGGGGAGTTGCTGAATTGTGGTAATGATAGATAGATAGATAGATAGATAGATAGATAGATAGATAGATAGATAGATAGATAGATAGATAGATAGATAGATAGATAGATAGATCACCTTTACTTCCTCCGAGTGATGAAAATACATATAATGTTTCTTAGTAGGTTTTTCCACATTGTAACAGTTTTACATACACGGAGCATTATATTTGTCCATAGATTGTATTCAATTGCCATAGTACTTTCTGTTGGCAAACCGCCAAGTAAAAAGGACAGAAAGGTATCGTCATCATCGTTCCAGACACTAGAAAAAGTTGTCACATCTAGTAAATCAATAATAGTCTAAACAAGAATATTTCTTTGTTCTTGTGTCTGTTTACAATACATAAACACATGTTTCATAATATCAAAAGGAAATGTGCCGCATAAACATTCATTGGATTGTATGCTGTAGGTGCTAAGACATAATAAATATGCTAAATCATAGAAGTGTTCCGGCCTTTCAATTGTTAGTAACCATATAGCCTGTGTACCTTAGCTGATCATATAAGAGAGTATCGTTTTAGGTTTTCTCTTGAGTGAAGCTCTGCATAAATTACGTTACGGTCACATATACTTATATGTTCTTTAACTCGACTCGCCCATGTATGTTTGTTGGGGAAATGAGAAGAGGATGTACAGGTGTTTATATCATTATTCACTTTATACGTGTTTACTTGTGATAGCATGTGATAAATGGACATTTTACATTTATCACCCCTTTCTTTAATTGTATCGAGTTAATACTAAACAAGTCTGTGCTGTAATAGTCTTTTAAATGCAAAGTTAATGTCACTATTACATAGTCTTCCAAGGAATCAGAGTGCTCGAATGATCAATATACGCCTGGATAGAAATTAAACCAAGACAATCTCTGGTGACGACGGAAGGAGTGCGTTTAGACAACCCTTATATCTTTTAACATAAATAACGTTGAATAATTTCAAAGATTTCGTATTCCTTTGGTGACAGTTTACCCCATACACAACAAGCAAATAATCCTCATGGTAATATCACTCTTTCCCATATCCGAACATCCGAACAGGATTTAAACCACCTAAATATAGCCCATGATTATAATTTATAGTGACTGACATTCTGAGTTTTTAACATATTGAATGGGTACGTTCTCAGGTTTTCTGTGATGTTTTTAAAAGCAATCCAGCATAAGTTACATTTTCCTTTTTTATGAAGTATTCGTGAAGCAATGTAGACACGTTGACAGACGCATTTGCAAATATTCCCAAACAGTAGAAATGCACTTTTACTGGCATTATATTTCAAATGCCATCTATTAGCATATGTGTATATATCATTTAGTGGAGATTGCAGTCTGTCAGGGGAGCTGCTCAACAACGTAGTATCATCTGCTAATAGGATGCCGGGTGTGTGGAAGACACAAGCCACGCCCAGAATCATCAAGTGAATACAACAAGTCATTAATATACAGAGTAAAAAGCCATGCTGATAAAACGCGTCCTTGACCAACACCTTGCTTAACATGAAACACATTTAAGGTAAATCCTCCAATGGTTACACATGAGGTATGTATCGGCGTAAAAGTCGCCATAATTTTCCATTTATTCCAAAGTTATACAATTTGAAAAAAAGACCATTAAGTCAGACTTTTTTCATTGTTGAGAAAAGCGCAATAAACTAGAGACTATGTTTCGTTATAATAAGCTATATGCTTTCCATTAATGTTAACAGGGCAGTTTCTGCCCCAGCCCCTCTCCTAAATCCAAATTGAAAGGGTTGGGGGAAGCCTTTAGATTTGTTTGCCCACTCTTCAATTCTATTCAACAGGAATCTTTCGAACAGTTTACTTAATGCAGGAGTGAGGGTAATACCTCTGTAGTTAGTGGGGTCATCTTTACATTTATCATGGCCTTTATGGATAGGTAAAATCTTTCCAACATTAAACATTTTTGGTACATACACATGAGAGACAATTTCATTATAGAATGTAACAAGGTGATGAATAATAGATCTACCAGAGTATTTGATATGTTCATTAACTAAACTAACGTCACTGTTCCCTTGGTCATTACACGAATCATTTTCAATCTGTTCCATGCGAATATTCACATCAGTAAAATCTGAGTAAAATTGATATCATGGCATTGACAAATCCTTGAAATATTTGGAAAACAGATTACAACTTCCTTCCTGTGTATTACAGGACTCTTCATTATACACAAGCGTCTGGGTTTGTTTGGAATGACGATGCTGCTTCCTAAAGATATGTTTTGCTCTTTTATACTCAGTGTAATTTGCATCCTCTTTATCATGGAATTTACCATTATAGGCCAATTCATTAAGACGTTGTCGCATTGTACGATGGAACTGATTTGAATTATCTTTTTTCCAGTATGGTTTTAAACTAGACTGGAATTTTGAAGATGGTATACTTAGTTTATCTGCAGCATGTAACGATTCCAGGATATAGCCGTGATAATGTTTTAATGTATTCATGAGGAAATGCGTACTGAATCTCGTCAAACTGAGCACATCTAAAACGTTTTAAGTTTCATATCCGTATAACATAAAGTCGACATAATTAGGTTTACGCCAGTTAAGATGTTCACCGCCATGGTGGCGTGGCTGGGAATCAATACTCAGACATGGGAATATTGGACAATGGTCAGATATTGAGTATTGAACTCCAGGGTCTAAAGCATAATCAACAGCCTTACCAACATGTTGGAGATTAAAGAGCACATAATCTATCATACTTCTCATAGTTTTACATTTGCTTGTGAAGGTAAAATTAGCATTATCGTCAAGGGGTACGACATAGAATAGATTCCGTTCAGTGAGCACTCTTTGCAGATATTCCGCTCTGCGTTTCAATATAATTCCATGAAGCCGATCTGCATTGAAATCACCTTGTAGAATTGTTTCCCGTTGATGAGAACATCTATGCTAGATCTCCAGTTCATTATTAAATTCTTCTATGGACACACTATCTAAAACGTTAGATAAGGGAAGACGAGCACCAATTATATATACGTAGGGCATTTAGTACTGAGGAGTTTAGCCCCAATGATATGCTTGCTTGAAGGTATACTGATTGCTGACGGACTCGAACACGTACTTTTACAAATGAATATGGCCATACCCCCTGTGCCTCTTTGAGATGAGTGGTCATGATGACATTTAACATAGACGTTAAAGTCATCATCCAAGTCATAGAGTTAATATTCACGTGTGTCGTCTAGCCAGTGTTCGGTAATAACCTAAATGTCACAGCTCATAAGTTTTGAGCGAATTTCATCAAAGCAATTCAATGCCCAACGCACATTCCACGTAGTCATGATTGACATTAAAACAAGTATATATGTCGCAAGTCAAAAAAATATCATCTTCATTATTTATGTTCATCCTTGTCATTGTACCACGCATTATTGGGTAGCTAATCACAACAATTAACATTTTCGGGCCAGAGGCAGTCATCATCAAATATGATATCTACACATTGCTGTGTAGTCCAGGACCTTAGGGGAATATTGTGCAGATGTGTCTACAAGCACCAAATTTGGCACAGGTGTAGACCAGAACATAATTAATCCATTTTTGGAGGGCGCCAAAGCCGACGCTCACTGGGGCGGCCATGTTGGCAAAATCCA